TCGTGCGGACATTGTCGGTTCAATTACAACACTTAGGTTCAATGAATAAGACCCATGCATTGCCGTGAGATGTTGCCATCATGTGCGGACAGACTGCAGTAGCACCCTCTTAAAGTAGTGCACCTCTTGTATAATTCGAATTGACGAGACCTAAAAACCGCTCTGACATCCAAATGCATGCTCTACCGAGGCAATATGCCGACAGCAGCCCCAAGGAAATAGGCCAAGCCCCGCAAACCGAAGACCGAAGCAAAGCCAACGTTTTCGGTACGGCACATGTACGTTTATTGGCGCGGGGCACTTGAAACACCAGTCCTTATAGTTCGATTCACACTTACTAGAAGTAAACACGTCGTAACGACAATGTCGTACTTCGGTTCAATGAACAAGACTCATGCCATGCCGTGAGATATCACCATCATGTTGCACGGACTGACCGTAGAAGCAACCCCTTTAAAGTAGTGTACCTCTTGCATTATTCCAGTTGGAGAGACCTGAAAACGCCTCTGGCATCCAAGAACATTCTCTACCGAGATAGTACTGTCGTGTATAAGGTGCGCTGCGCTTATAAACATGTATGCACCGTACCGAAAACGTTGGCCTCGCTTCGGTCTTCGGTTTCCGGGGCTTGGTCGGCCCCCTTAAAATTGCTGTTGGCACATTATCTCGGTAGAGTATGTCTTTGGATGTCAAAGCGGTTTTTAGGTCTCGCCAATTGGAATTATACAAGAGGTGCGCTACTTTAAGAAGACGCTACTACAGTCTATCCGCACATGATGGTGACATCTCACGATAGTGCATGAGTCCTATTCATTGAACCAAAGTATTGCAGCTCAACCGACATTGTCGGCACAATGTGTTTATTTCTACTTAGTGTGAATCGCATTATAAGGACTCTAGTTTCAGGTGCCCCGCACCAATAAACGTATATGTACCGTACCGAAAGCGTTGCCTTTGCTTCGGTCCTCGGTTTCCGAGGCTTGGCTTCTTTCCTTGGGGTTCGTGTCGGCATATTATCTCGGCAGGGTATGTCTCTGCACATCAGAGCGGCTTTTAGGTTTCGCCAATCGGAAATATACAAGAGGTGCACTACTTTAAGAGGGTGCTACTACAGTCTGTCCGCACATGATGCCAACATCTCACGGCAATGCATGGGTCTTATTCATTAAACCGAAGAGTTGTAACCGAACGGACATTGTCCGCACGACGTATTTATTTCTAGCAAGTGTGAATTGCATTATCCGGACCCGTGTATGAGGTGTACTGCGCCAGTTAAGCATATGTAGCGTACTGAAAACATGAGATTTACTTCGGTCTTCGATTTCCGGGGCTTGGTCCGTTTCCTTAGGATTGATATTTGCATATTATCTTGGTAGAGGATGTCTTTGGATGTCAGAGCGGTTTTAAGGTCTCTCCAATTGGAATTATACAAGAGGTGTACTTCTTGAAGAGGGTGCTAGTGCAGTCCGCCCGCACATGATGGCAACATCTCACGGCAATGCATGGGTCTTATTTATCGGACCGAAGTCTTGCAGTTTCACCGACATTGTCAGCACGATGTGTTAAGTTCTAGTAAGTGTGAATCGCTATATCCGGACTCGTGTGTGAGGTGCACTACGCTAACAGACGTATATGTACCGTACCGAGAACGCTGGCCTTGCTTCAGTCTTAGTTTTCCGGGGCTTGGTCCGTTATCCTAGGATTGCTGTTGGCATATTATCTCGGCAGAGTATGTCTCTGGATGTCAGAGCGATTTCAGGCCTCGCTCGTTGGAATTGTACAAGCGGTGCACTACTTTAAGAGGGTGCTACGACAGTCCCTCCGCACGACATGATGGCAGGATCTCACGGCAATGGAGTATTCATACTAATTGAACCCAAGTGTTGTAGCTTAAGCGACATTGTCGTCACGATGTGTTTGGTTCCAATAAGTGTGAATCGCACTTTCCAGACTCGTGTATGCGGTGCACTACTAGACATTAATGTACCGCACCGAAAACGTTGGCTTGGCTTCGGTGTTGGGTTCCCGTGGCTTGATCGTTTTTTTTAAGGTTGCTGGAAATGCTTCAGTTCAGCCGATATTGTTGGGTCTTTCTCTGTGTTGTCTGTGTGGAAATATCAATTTAAGCTTCACAACTGGAAATAAATTAGGAGTGCAATAATAAAGTAAGAAGTCAAAAGAAGTGCAATGATAGGGTAAGAGTGTAGGCGCCTTTCTGGTCTGCGCGCGATGTGCCGTAAGTTATCAAATATTTGCAAATAATGATCAAAATTATGTTATGTACGAAGGCTCAGCGCACCAATAGATAATTAGAGACACGAATGTGCAAACCTGGGATACTATTCTTGGTTTCTCGTATGTCCGTGATTTGGTGCTTAGGTTGACCTTTTAGTACACATTATAAAGCGTATGCTACCTGTGTGTTAAAAATCGCATTACTGGTTTGTTGCCCGAAATTATAATATTGTCAGATAGCAATTTCTTGAAGATGATAGGCGCTCATGCAAGCACCGTGAGTAGCAATGGTCGAAACGACAGAATGAATAATGTTAATTGCCTGCTCATCATTTTGGTGCTAAAGATGTTGTTTGGGTTGCATGATTTCCAAGTTGGCCAATTCTGCTAACGTGAGCTGGCTGTGCCTGTTTCGTACTGCGCATAAAACGCTCACGGTGGATATTTTTCTTCTTCTAAAAAAGGTGAAGTACTTGAAGAATCCCAAACAAATTACTATTTTTTATAAAAAGTTAATAGGACATTTTGATCAAAATAAACAACAATTTCTCTAAATAAACAATACATCATATTTTTGAACATGAACATGACCTATATACAAAACTGCAAATATTCAACTCTCAAACAGTATCAACATGTGCCAGACTGCAGACCATGGCAGATTTGATGAGAGCTCATTGAGCCAGTGATGGGGCACAATTTGTAAGTTCAGGTAGCTCATCATCATTTTGTGACAGAAATCATCTAACTTAAATATTGAGGGCATCATTATATTTCCTGCACCATATAAGGCACAAATTACAGGAGATTATCAGATCTTGTGATCATTCTTGTTTCAGGGGGACAGCAAGGTTAACAAAATCTGCCCTAAGTGAGCACCTTACTATCCTATTATGGGCAGGAATCCATCTTCCCCTCATCATCTTGTTGGTAAATTTGCCATTATTTGCAGACTGGTGTATGAACATAACCCAAATGTTACATAACAACATATGCTTTAGTAATGGCCTGATATTTATCCAGGGAGACTGGAGCTGTCCACTTGAATTAACAGACACCTACATCCATAAACTCAAAATGCTAACGTTTGTACATTTAGCAACATAAACAGCAGCCAAACCACACAGCTGACATCCAAAACGCATCACAATACTCGTTCCTCCGACCACAGCGTTACAAATCTCCACTACCTACCTGTTACACATCCCTTAGAGACGTTCGCTACCCTCGCAAGGGAATTCATCGTGTGAAGGAGCACCACTCCAAATGGCTTATCGGCTTTACAACTTGGGAAACGTCTCCACTTCAGCCCAGCCTCCACCGAGTTTACAACGCTCCCTCGCGACCCGTGGCAAGTGGGGAATGAAGAATCGACAACGGCCCAGTGGGGAAACTACTTCACTTATGTCATGGCTGCGGCACATTTGTATCCACCTTTGCAGTTGGGCAGAATATTTTCTCGGCAAAATTACATAACATTATTGGTTATGTAATTCATAGTAAATGCCAAAAATACTGCCTGCTGGCTGGTAGATTTGGTCGGTGACCTCCCAGCGTCGCCAAGACCGGGTGAACCATCGCCTCTATAGGTCTTTACATACATCGGCCATTGACAGCCTCCTCCACCAGTCACCTTGAGTATCCACGCCATTCGAAATTCCTTTCATCTGCTGGGCTGGATGCCAGCAGCGCAGGGACAGCGTAGCATGGAGAACGCCAGATCCAACTTTAAAACCATGGAACTGCAGCCTACGACCTCGCGCGTTCGCAGCTGGTTGGCGCGGACGGAGTCGAATTTTCCTGCGAAAGCACGAGGCTACCCTTTGAATAATTTAAACCTAACCGTCACCAAACTTAGGTCACTGATGCGCGGACGACCCCTGTCGTGAAAGCCATTACCCACAAGCATATGTCATAGGCTGGCCACGGAACCCCGCTAACAGTATCCGCTGTGCGAAAAGTTCAGGCCATGCCTCTAAGCACAGCAACGTGGGGATTCGAAGAGCGGGCGGAAACCAGTCGACCGCCCCGGCCCCCAATGGAGCAGACCGCCGCCCGCGCTCACCGACTTCTCATGACATAACACATAACTCTGGGTGAGAGTGTCATTCCTCGCCTTGCGCTGCAACGCACGCGTCGCGCACAGCTAGTTGCTGCATAGCTAGTTGCACTGTCAGTCCGCCGTGCCTCCGCCGGCTCATGCTCTTCGGGATCGTTGTTCACGACAGCTGAGAGAATGAGGTGAAAGCTCATACGGTGACGCATATTTGATGGCAGAACGCCCCATGATTCGCGTTCTATCCCGCTCGTTCGCTCCGTCTCTCTTGTCCCCTGCGACGGTTTCCAGTGGACATTAAAACACCGTGCACAGTCCACCTAGGTGCCTATCTTACAGGAACAAATAGTACAATTAAATGCGAAGCACGATTACAACATACACCACATACCAGTCAGGATGACACGATCGAATGAAGACATCGGGCAGGTGCCGTGTCGCGTCTCTGCGCCAAGGCACGGCTGCAGCGCACCGACGGCGCACCGCCCGCCCACCGACCAATACAATCACATCACAGAGTGAGCCCGCCAATCCGGGGCCGGCGCACCCGATTCGCATCCAAAGCCGAACGAGCAGCGAGCGAACGCGAGCAAAGCCGAGGCGCCGCGGCCGCCGGGCGAAAACCGATCCGCGCAGCGACCCTAAAGGAGGACGCGCAGCAAACGCCGTCGGCGGCGAAAATCATCAAACCGTTCCGAGCGGGCGAGGCGATGATTCGATGCCTTGACTGTCCTACGCAAACCAAGAAACGCACCCACGACGCAACGCGGGGGCAAGCTAAGCGCGACTACAAACGAAAACCGGCAACCAGTCGAGGGACGCGTAAGCGAGTGGCCGGCGCTGGCCACGATATGGAAAGACCCCGCCGACCGGCCGGGACAGGAGTGTCCGCCGGCCCTCCTGACGGCGGGCAGGCCGCAGACCGCGGCCCGCTCTCGCCTCCCACGGCAGTGTCGGCCGGCTCGGCCCGTGGGGTGCCGCCTCCACCACCCGGGAACGTCATCAGACTCCATCTGCGGCTATTGCGGCGCGGCCGACGCGACGGTGGCGTCCCCACGGGAGCCGTCCGTCCGGGAGGCCCCGCCCCGACGGCGCGCGTCCCGGACCAGTCCCGCCACCAGGCGCTGACAGAGCGCGCCAAAACACCGGCCGGGACCGCGCCAAAATGCCGATCCGCTGGCGACACGCGCCACGGCGACGGCGGCGGCCGCCCAGGTGGCGAGGTACGCCAACTTTCCGCCGGCAGGCGGCGCTAGTGTGCCCGCGTCGCTATTTCGGCTTCAGCGTGGCGGAAGTGGGCGTGAGGTTCATGGTCTTGCAGATCCAGCCGGCGATATCCACGTTCTCCTGCTCCGCGCGCAGGATCCAGGGGTGTACCTGGAGGTCAGAGGCGCCGTCAAATTCCGCACACAGTCCCCGGGCACATCGCCGTTCCAGACCTTCACACTTCAAACCTTACACATCAAACGCCCGCCGCGCCTGACGATACATGTACACGTGTGTCTGCATCTTGAGGCCATCGCGGCGCGCACCCCACCGACGCGCCGGCACACAGGGCGAGGCGGGCGATCCACACGCGTCCAACGGATGCAGCTGCGGCTCTCCGCAGCGCTGCCCCAATACGGAGCCGCGCCACGAGACCGGATCGCGCGCCACGTACTATAAGAGACTTGAGGTCAGCCCGCTCCTCAGGGTTCTTCTTCAGGCAGCTGTCGACGAAGTTGACGAAGTCGTCGCTGAAGAGGCCCTGCGGCAGCTTGGGCGGCGGCTCGTTGACGATGTGCTCCAGAAGGTCGAATATCGCCAACTGACGGCCGTTTCCCACGCCGGCTGCGGGTGGGCGGTATAAGGTCAGGTCAGGTCAGGTCAGTTCAGGTTTCGTCAGGACAAATCAGGTTTCGTCAGGACAGATCAGGTTTCATCAGGTCAGGTCAGGTCAGGTTTAATCAGATCAGGTCTCCTAGGATAAGGCCAGGTTTTTGTCAGGCCAGGCCTGGTCAGATCGGGTCAGGTCTTGCCAGGTCAGGTCAGGTCCCATCAGGACAGGTCGGGCCTCGTCAGCTAAGGTCAGGTCAGGTCGGGTTGTGTTCGCAGATGAATGGACCCGGCGCACGCAGACGGGTGTGGCAAAACACTGAAAGGTTAAACAGCCGACAACTTGTGTTTGCGTTAGTCGAGTGGCAGCTTGCAGGTGCTTTAGACTGACGCATGGTTCTTTACAAAACTGCAAAGCGCATCTGCGTGAAAATACGTCATAAAGACAAATGCCAAAACGCAAAAAACGCCAGACAGACAAAGGGCACACCAACGGAAGGTCGATGCATCATCGACGCACGACACTCACCCGAACTGGGCGCTGTCCGAGCGGCATGGACGGAAACAAGACCCAGCTAGCTTCAGTTACAACGCATCTAGTCAGAACAGACAACACCCACCCGAACGACAGACCACTCCGAATTGACATAACTCGTCGGGTCACTCCCGCTTCACGTGCCAGCACCTTTCGCAAGTCAGCATATGTCAGCTTCTCTTGCAATGTGAGAATACCTCGGCCGCGTCTTGAATGCCCGTTAAACTAGACGACATTCAAGAGATAGCACAGGGACGCTCTCCACGTAAATCATTCCAATACAACTGGTGACAAAGCTATCTCACTAATACGATGAGAACCCTCCACTACCACGAGCATCTATGCCACCCATCATTTCCCCCACACCCCGATGAGAGCCCTGCACCACCGCGAGCATCTACACCACCCGTCATTCCCCCCCCCCCCCCCCGGCGGGAACCCTCCGCCACCACGAGTATCTACACCGCCCGTTACTCCCCCCTGACGAGAATCCTCCGCCACCGCGAGCATCTACACCACCCGTCACTCCCCCCTGACGAGAACCCTCCGCCACCGCGAGCATCTACACCACCCGTCACTCCCCCCTGACGAGAACCCTCCGCCACTGCGAGTATCTACATCACCCGTCATTCCCCCCACCCCCTGACAAGAACCCCCCGCCACCGCGAGCATCCACGCCACCCGTCACTCCCCCTGAAGAGAGCCCAGCACCACCGCAAGCATCTACACCACCCGTCATCTCCCACCCCTGACGAGAACCCTCCGTCACCACGAGTATCTACACCACCCGTCACTCCCCCTGACGAGAACCCTCCGCCACCGCGAGCATCTGCATCACCCGTCGCTCCCTCTCCTCGCTGTCCACGCAGGGCCTGCCCCGTCGTGCACCCACCGGACTTGGGCGACTTGGCGAGCGGGGAGGCCACCCGGTTGGGCGCGCGTTCTGTGAACTGCGTGCCGAACTTGTGCGCCAGGGTGGCGTAGTCGGGCGGCGGGATCGGGTACAGCCCCAGCGCCATCTCCACCAGCGACAGCCCCAGCGACCAGATGTCGCTCTGTACCGAGTAGTGGATCCCTGAAGTCGCTCCGGCTGTGGGGCGGAACGCGTGGTGGATTACGCCGTAGTGGAGCGTCGCAGCGTCACTGAGGTGACCAAGATCTCCTTCCACCACTCTGGCTGGTGGGGAAACATGAAAACGCGTGGTAGACGTGGTCATGGGAGGTGGGGGGGGGGGGGGGGGGAGGGGAGAAGGGGAGGAGACAAGCGATGCGGTGTTCAGGATCCTCTGCTTGCGTTCCGACTGGAGATGAGGGAAAACAAGGGTGTGTACATGGATCGCATCGAGTGCAGGGAGAGTAGCAGCGCCGCAATGAGAATCCATACGTTCGCTTCGATTTTGGAGCCAAAATCGGGGGGGGGGGGAGGGAAGTGGGTTATACCTTGGAAAAAGCTGGTGATACATTGGTACAGACATGCGACCACTGTTGTATCGCGGGGAAGCTTTAGGCCTACACAAGCGGTGCGCGAGGCGGAATGTGTAGAGCTCCAACGAGAGTTAGAGCGATTGGCTTCATCCATATCACAACCAAACCTTATCACAAACAGACCACAACAGAAGCCGCCTTTGTGCCACATTGTGCCAAACACAGCAGGTACCTGAACGACCACTGCTGTTAGTCCTGCACGTAGGCAAACAGGTCGCTGCAGAACTCGCCACCGCAGTTATCACTGTATGAGCGCCGCACCACCCACCGACATGTAGCTGCGCGTGCCGACAAAAGAGTTAGCCATGGAGTCGATCAGCTGGCCGGACACGCCGAAGTCGCAGAGTTTGATCTCGCCGTGGCTGTTGATGAGGATGTTGGAGGGCTTGACGTCCCGGTGGATGATCTGTGTAGCTCCGCAGGTACGACAGGCCCTTCAGCACCTGCAGAACACAAGCGCAGGCTGCCCGTGAGGTCGTCCTTGCTCGGGCGGCACATATGCAGCACACAACCACAGGCACAGGGGAGGGGATTTTACCAGCTAAGGCACACACTAGACCATACCCGAAGCTACCGTATCGAAAACTACAACCGCCGTAAGGACATGAGAATTAAGTTCGAAGGCAGAACGGCCCGCCAGGAGGAACACGAGTCACCCTCTTAAGTTCACAGAAGGCCCACGAAGCTTCACGCGCGAAAGGAGCGGCGATTCACACTTCAAATAGCGAAACACGGTCCGGACAGGCACCACAAGCATGAAGTGCGTGGCTATCGAGGCCCCGGCAACCGACCACTGTCGTCGCCGCCGGCGCGCGCGGCCGCGGAGGTAGTTATTATTATTATATATTGTTATTACAAACCTTGGCCAAATCGAGCGAGTGGTTTCTAACGCCGCGTCAGTACACACTACATAGATCAACACAGAACACGCAACACTGCAAATAAGACGCAACGCCAGCGACACACATACGATGTTATAAACATGACCGACTTGTGATACAGGTCGTACCTCGGAGGTGATCTTGGCCAGGATCTTCTCCGGTATCCGATCTATCTGCTTCAGCACTAGGTCCAGCGAGCCGCCGTCCATGTACTCCATCCCTATACTCAGCTCCCCGTCACTGGCGGAGCACGGGGGGGGGGGGCGTCACGGGACGTCACAGGAGCACACGAACCGAGGCACAGAGGGTCGTAAGGCGGAGGAGGAGACGGTCGCTGGCGTAGCACGAAGGGGGGGGGGGGGGAGCGTCACAGGCCGACAGGGCACATGTCGGCGAGGAACGGAGGTCGTCACTGGCAAAGAAGGCAGTCACTGGCAGGACTGTCACGGGAGAAAACAGGCTGTCCCTCACTGGAGAGTTCAGACTGCCTCTCTGCTTGCAAATTTATCGCCGTAACACGAGTCGCGTTCGTTTTTAGGCCACTTAGGCGACTTCTCCCCATGTCTCATTCATATATGGATTGACTGGGATGGAAGTTCACAAGAAAATGATCACGTAAACTAAGGAAACAATTATGACACCAGGAAAACATTAGAAACACGGAAATCGTCATGTCACCTTGAAATCGCTGACTTGAAAGGTAATCGAGGATGGGAAACCAGTGCTACACCAGATGAATAGGGATGATTCGGAAACCCGTTGCCTGCACACTTTACAATTTGCTGGCCAGCCGTAACAAACACTTAACACCACTGACAAGTTCATCCCACACACCTGTAAAACGACCCGAAGAAGCCGACAATCTGTGGAGAGAAGCACTGGTTCAGCACCTCCAACTCCCGCATGATCTGGTTCTTGATGGCTGGCTTCACCTCCAGGTGGATCAGCTGGCGACACAGGCAACCAATCAGGACGCAGCGCGACCAGCGACTACCAATCAGATGGGAATGTGAGGAGCAGCGGCCAATCAGAGGCGTGGTGCAGTCGTGGCCCGTACATGGCTAGCGAACATCGCACCGGACCAAATGGCACGAGGGTGACTCCCATCCAACACGAAACGACAACAGCCTGTGCCGTTTAAAGATACAGGAGGACGGAGCCACTGTCGCGTGCCACCTACAAGTGACCATAACACTGGCAACTTTCTTAAAACCTTCAGGTACCAGTTCATAGTACTGCCAGGTCTATCTCATGTTAAAGA